GAGCGCTTAACTGGTTTCCCTCAGAGATGACTGCCGCTGGAGAACTGAGATGTGTAGATTCCGCTATCGCGTCTGTTGTAAAAGAAATCGACAGCACATTCATTTTAATAGACGAACAGAGAACTGCAATCAAGGCATTTGTCGATCGGAAAGATGTGTTTGCCGTCCTTTCTACGGGATTCGGCAAAAGTTTAATTTATCAGCTGGCTCCGATGGTCACTAAGAAGATGGGACGCAATGAAAACCCTGTGGTCGTTGTGGTTTCTCCTTTGGGCGCACTCATAGAGGACCAAGTAAAAGAAGCAACACTCGTTATTTTACTTCTTCCAGCGTGCGTGCATTTGAGTTCTGTGGTTGACAACTGTGCTATGCAAAGTAGTTGACTTACTGCGTTGCTCTCATTGGTTGTAGGTCTATCCAATTGAGTGCAGAGTCTTTTTTTTTCCTGGTTCGGTTAAGACACGCCTCATAATCAAAGCCCTATGGAGCAGTATCAGACTCACATTCTGACTAGAATATGAGTATGACGAAGTCAGGCTACACTGAAGCACTATTAAAGTATGATTTGTCGAGTGTATTCTCAAGCCAAATATATATTTGTGTGAGGAACAGTCAGATTGAAAACTACGTCATTTTTCTCTGATTTAGTAAGCTGAAATCGTGAACAAATCATTCTTTTGAACCGGTTCTTTACAATGAACCGAATTAAGACACTGTCTCAGTGGTTTTTGATTAACAGCTCACTGAAGGGAAAGTAAAACAACAACGTAATATTCGGTTGTTCTTTTACAAAAGTTATCATATTGGGATCAATTGGATAAACACACTAAAAAAGTACTTGTACTGTAAATGAAGACACTTGTAAAGCTAGATAACATAGTAAGACACTTTAAATGGTGTTCTCATAGGCTGCAAGGGAGTTCTTGCCCTCATTCAGAGCTATGTATTCAGTCTGGCATGTTCGGCCCAAAGGGATGGGGCCAAGGCACGAGGAGGCCCAATATTCCAAACAAAATGCCTCTCATCGCCTAAATGCATCATTGCAGCGGAGACAGGCAAGTCCCTCTTTCTCTGGATGTTTAAATGAGAGAGTGCATAAGCATGTATGTGTTGACTGGTGCTGAACTGGCTCAGTGAAAGTCCAGCAGACCTGTCTGGCCTCTGGGATGATCCACAAGAGACCCTATTGATTTATCTTTAAATCATTAACATTAATTAGGATTAAGTATTCCAGAGAGCCATGCAATAAAAATACATATTGGCCATTAAACTACAAAACTGATCTGTAGTGCAGAGAGACTAAAGTAGATGTCACACACATTGTACCTAACCTGTTAACTGCCACCCCCTTTTTGGAGCATAGATATGAATTTAAATGGTTGTAATTCATCAATGCTGTGGAATACAGACCTAAGGTTGGTCTCTTTAAAAGAAAAATACTCTTAAAGCAAATGTACTTAAAGGGATAGTTCACCCAAAAATGAAAATTCTTTCATCATTTACTCACCCTCAAGTTGTTCCAAACCTCTGTGTTTATTTGTTCTGCTGTACACAAAGGAAGATATTTGGAAGAATGTTTTAATCAAACAGATCTCAATCCCCATTGACTTCCATAGTAGAAAAAAAATACATACTATGGTAGTCAATGGGGATTGAGATCTGTTTGATTAAAACATTCTTCCAAATATCTTCCTTTGTGTACAGCAGAACAAATAAACACATAGAGGTTTGGAACAACTTGAGGGTGAGTAAATGATGATAGAATTTTCATTTTTGGGTGAACTATCCCTTTAAGTAAACATTCATTTTATACATACATAATGTATATTTTACGATATAATTTGGACTCTAATCTCCGGATTCACAGACAAGGCTAAAGCCTAGTCCCAGACAGACACACATTAGGCCATATGCACTGCTGCCTAAACTGAGCTGATGAAATCGCTCTAATTTAATAATGTCTAAAATACGCATATTATATTGCTTCATATTGCCATTACATATTTTAACACTTTTTTTTTTTTTGCCGTTTTACCAAATTGGCTTTTTTTCTTTATTTCTTTCTTTTTTGGCATATAGCAAGTCAAGTCAAGTCAAATCATTTTGTATAGCGCTGTCACAAAACATGTAATTTTAAAGCAGCGTTACAGAAAATCATTCTTGTCTTAAACCTTAAAGCCCCAACAGGAATTCAAGAAATAGCCTTAATTTAGAGTACTAAATTTGGGTCATTTGGGTAAAGACATAGACATTTTTCAGGATGCTGACAGTTAAGAGTAAAAGATTATAGAAAATCTCATAACAGTTACAATTTCTACTCCTTGCAGAGTTTATTTATATAAAGGCCTAAAAGATGAACGTCTGCTTGAGTTTTAATAATACACCCTCTTTGTTAGACTCTGTGGTTTGCACACCTGTGTTGACGGGCACGATGTCCTCTAGACGCCTTGAAATGGAAGCATAAACAGGCATACCCAGCTGGGGAAACCCAGACTCACCACAGCCCAGCACACAGAGCATGGCCTGCCGCCAGCGCCTGCATCTTTTCACACAGACATGCGCATTTGATCATTCCACCTGGAAAAGAATAGCAAAAGTGTCACAAAAGACATAGGAAATATCCTAAATTACCGTTAGGAATATTCAACAATTCCTTGAAAACAGTGTAGCATTCATGAACAAAATCAAATATTAAAACACCTCTGTGAATACATTACATTTAGAGACCCAGTACCGGTGCCAATGAGCATGGCAGGCGATGCCAAACTGCAGGCAAAATAAGCAAGCGCCAATGTGGCTGACTCTGAAGCTATTCAAGATGCTGGGAATTTCCTGGTGTGTCGCACTCACATTGATTTTTAAATGAGTAAACATGCTAAAACAAATAAATAAAAGTGCACATGAATTCCTCAACACTATTACAACGGCAGGAAATGTTATTTCTAATGCAACATTCACATGCGAGTTCAGTAAAAGGTCTGTATGCATAGTTGGACTGCCCTCTATTGGTAGGACATGATCATGTGCAGGACAACAAATTCTCCCTGAACTGCACATGAAAATCTAGAACAATTGACAGCTAAAGTTATTAACTATAAGAATATCACAATGATATCTGCTAAAGTTTTAAAAATGAAGACAAAACGTGAGTCATGTTCTTACACTCATGAAAAATTTCTATTCATGTTGCATTCAAATTATTTTAAATTTGTTGATGGAATGACACCATCATGTCACTCCAAACCCATTTATTTTTACTGTTCAACAATTAAATAATTATTTCCGAAGAATCTTCATGCAGACGTATCAAGCTGCAAAAATAACAAAATAAACCCACTAAAGCACCATTAAGGTACGAGTGAGGTTGAGTCAAACTATATATTTGTGTGAGGAACATTTAGATTGAAAATTAAGTAATTTTCACTGATTTAGGAAGATTAAATTTTGCACAAATCATTCTTTTGAACCGGTTCTTTGCAATGAACCGAATTAAGACACTTTCTCAGTGGTTTTCGATTAACAGCTCACTGAAGGGAAAGTTAAATAACACCGTAATATTCGGTTGTACAAAATACACACAGCCTGTATCACATTATAGACTGTTTGTATGGGGGGTGGGGGAATGGTGTAATATGTGTGCATGTGTTTATGGAAAGGCTCATCTCCAAGCACCATAACACATTTAGGCAGCCCTGCCACAGGCCTGGCGACGTTGATGGACACTTTCCCCATCCAGATCCATTCAATCCAGAGCCACAGAATGACAGAGAAGAAAGAAAGGGGTCAGGAGGAAAAGAAAAACAGAGGTTGTTCTGCATGGTCCTCCGATGGGCTCGCTGGGTGGTTTGTCTGTTTATTTAGTCTGTGGAGGTGATGGGAACTGAGCATCAGCCACTGCCAATTTTCTTCACACTGAGAAAATATTCATGTGGACAGCTGGAATCCAGAGAGCAGAGTCAAACAGACTCAGGGCCAACAGATACAAGACTCGGCCTCGCATGAAACACATTTCCAAATCGAAAATCCCAGCAAAAGCTCCTTTAGCTCTCTGGTCTTTTTTAAAATGCATGGTGGATAACCGATCCAAAGGAACCATGTTTGTAACAAGCCAGTGGTCTTTTTGCCATTCTAAGCATGTTGTTTCAGAAGCTGGCTAGATACATCCAAAGACTCAATGCAAAACTATTTCAGTCTGTTAAAACCAGTGAAGGATACAATTATAATCAAGGTTTCAAGTAGTTTTTCTGAGGTGAACCTCCAAGTCCCTAGTCATGCAAGAGTGTGGGTAATATTAAAACAGACTAAAAAAGTTTGAACAAAAAGATTTAATCCATAGAAAATATTCCAACCACTTAAGTTCACCACAACATCAATATAGTTGACATGTTTACACATTCAGAACAATTATTTTCGAAATTTTTTGTTGAAAAATGTTTTACACCCCCCCCCCCCCGAAATTATACACTGATAATTAATGACAATTATTTATTAAGCATTAAACAATGAACAGTCTTGCAAAAGTATGTCTACATCAAATGTAGTGATCGAACAAGATACATATTTAACTTATATTCACAATTTTGGTGCAATATATGCAAGCACAGATATATGCATTTACACAGTATGGGGGTAAATAGTTGGGAGGGGGTGGGAAATGCCACCCAAAGAGCTCAGAGGAAGCTGTTGAGCTTCTAGGCCTCACACGGAGATGTGGGGCCACCCACTCACAGGCCGATTTTGTTTATTTTCATCCTTTGAGGTAAACTGTTCAGTGTGAGCTGTTTATTAGGCCTTTGATTTGTCATGTGTCAGCTTGCGCTTGCAGGGCAAGTGTATACACTGTTTGTGGCTTGTATATAGTGGCGATTTGGAGGTCAAGGCTGGGAATGGTGGTTTAGGGATGATGGGAACGGTCTCATTTTGGTGATCCAAAAAAGAAAAAGAAAAAACAGTTTCAATGTGATGTGAAACAAGTTAGAATCCAAAAAAAAAAAAAAAAAAAACACCACAAGAGCTGATGATTCATGAAGATTGCTTTGAAAACCCAAGACACAGCATTTAAAATGTGATTAGCAAAAGATCCAAGATGAGGGAACCTTTATTCAGTACACAAAAACAATTAAAAGCGTACACACACACACAAAAAAACAAAACACTTGATGTATCTCTAACCAGATAGCAGATAAGATTATTAAAAGAACAAATTGAAGAGGTTTCTTTGCAGTTGTTCGCAGCTGAATCTCATCTTCGATTAGGTTGGTGACATCCTGACCCTCTGTTCTGCTTCAATAGCTGATCTCAAAGCCTGGTAAGACTCTACAAGAAGAAAAAACTATTTCAATGCCGTAATTATAACAGTTATATATTCTGTGCGCTGGTGTAGAATGCTCTAGTGACCTTCATGGAACATTATTTTTCCTTAAATAAAACATACACTTCCGTTCACAAAAGTTTGAATGGTATTAAAAAAAAGGAAAAGAATTTAACACTTATTTAGCAAGGAAGCATTAAATTGTTCCCGAGTGTGGAATAACGGCTGCTTGAAATTAGGCTTTGCCATCACAAGAATAAATAACATTAATTAGAAAACAGCTGGAACATCATTACACAATATTTTTGTTTTTACTGAAATTAAGAATAAAGGCAGCCTTGGTTAGCATAAGAGACTTTCAAAAACCTTATTGACCCATAACTTTAGAATGGTAGTGCATGTCTCTGTTTGGATTAAAATTAAATACCTTGCAGTTTCGTCATAAATGCATCAATCTCTGGTAAATTTGCTAAAATATCGAACGAGGGATATTCCATGGATCTGGCAATCTCACCGCACCCCTGGAAAAGGAATGAGAAACAGAAATGACTTTAAAGGTCTCAGAGCAGTTAAAAGAACTCCTGTCTGAAGAAATGCATTCAGGGGTAAACAAATAACAAAGGGGCGTTTTGTAATCTCACTTCGGGCTGGACGATATGGCCAAAATTTATGACACAACACATTTCTAAATATCGGTCGATACGATATAATTCCGATATCGATATGAACAGTATAAAAGCCTCAGGAAAAACTGCCAAGAATGCCCACAATGAATGTCTGTACCTACAAACTTCTGAAAGATGAATTTGCCAAGTCTCTGAAACCTCCTCCTATTAAACTATATAATATTTTAGAAATGAAATATTAACAATAATTTATTTGTACCATTTTTATTTGTATTTAGCCTTCATACAAACAAGAAATGTGAAATCACCGTCAAATAAACATAAGACTCACAATATTAATATCTTTAACTTTAAAGTCAAGTCAAGTCATCTTCATTTATATAGCACTTTTAACAATGGAGATTGTTTCAAAGCAGCTTTACAGAGATAAACATACAATTTACGGAAACAGAGATTGTTTTGGCTTTATAGCGATTTTTGAATAGTGTTATTTCCAGCTAAAGTTGGTTTTGATTGATTCACTTCCAGCAAAATTATCATTTGTTATTACATTAGGGGCCACTAAGACGACGGCGTTCTCTCTAAACAGACTTTAAACGAGAACCTGTGACCTGATGGCGTTCACATGCGCATTAAAAATTGATTCTATAGTTATATTCGTTTGAATATGTGTGCGCAGGTTTGAATTTCCCAACAAACAATTTTGGCCATAAAATGTAGGCTAACATAGGTTGATTATAATATTCTTATAGATTGAAAAGTGCTTCAGCCAGAATAAAGAATAAGAAAAGTGCTCAGAGTTGCTGCAGAAAAAAAAACAAAAAACACAAAACAAAAACAGATGTTTCTGAGGGACATTGAGTGTTCATGACACCCTGAATTCATTCCAATTGATGAATCTGAATGTAGTGTTTACATGAACGCTAAACAAGTGATCGGGTCACAAGCTTTAAGCTTCAAATAAGCAAATTCAAAGCTTTAATTCATCAAATTCATTCGCTCATTTATATGACACTTTAGTTAAGCAGGAAAAACAGCTTGTTCGTACGTCATACATACGCTATTTCAACGTCATTGCACATGCACAGTCCTTTCAGTCGGTTTTCAATCTGATCAAGTGTTTACATGTCCTCTCGATCGTATTAGAAAGGGAATAAACCACCGCTCTTAATTCGATCGAAAATTTATTCGGATCGAGCTCAATCGGATCGATTAAAGCGTTTAAATGAAGGCTTTTCAGTCCGATCGAGCCGTCAATCCGATTACTAATGGATTATCTGGTTGCATGTAAACGTAGCCTATGCCTGTAATGTATATTGAAATATCGAAAATGTGTTTAAAAATCATATCACTGTTATTGAAAAAATAAAAAATATTGCGATATATATTGATATTGAATTATTGTCCAGCCCTAAATCTCACTGCTATGGGGAGTTTTGTAACTTTGAGTGATAGTGAAGTTTAAAAAAAAGCCGCCCACTCAGAGCAGGTGTGTTTACACAATAGACATCCGGAAAGCCAGAAAGCTACAAACCTTCAATTCTTCAAAAAACCTCTCCTCCATATTAGACACTTGTGATATAGCCTCAAATGCTGGGACAACAGACTCCTGAAAAAATAAGTACATTTGGGGGGTTTTGAGCAATTTTTGCACCACATTTCTATAAATAAGTTAAACACATGCATGTATACATGAATGTCAAGCTGTGACATGCTATACTCAATCTAAATAGAAAAATGCATTAGATGAGTCTCAAAAATATTAAACTCGGAATGAAATTCACCTATTTTCTAAATGCATCTTACTGATCTTATTGTGAACGATTCATCCATGCATAATTTTTTTTTTTTTATACCTTAAATAAATAGAGAAGATCATGTTATGGCTTCATGTTTCTTGTTGACGTATGCCAAAATTCTCCTGTCAATTAGATTTCTCTGCCACTGTCTTACATTTGACCGCAGTCACATTCTGATCTGCCTCCTACCAATCAAGAACCAAAGGATAGAACCAAGTTCTCGTCCTACATTTTTTTTTTTACGATAATCCTTTTCACTCAGAAGTATGTCATAATATTTGCCTTCCATTTCATCACAACTTTACGACTAGTTATTTCAATTTGTTTGATTAATAAACAAAAGAAATATTAAATTATGACTTGCTGAAATAAAATTAAGTAGCTCATAATTGTCAAATTCAGTGACTTGGCATTCAAATAAAAGCTCCATTCAAACACAAGCAAAACAAAAACATCAAATTCAATACGATTTGTAGATGAAAGGAAATTCCTGACACTTAAAATTAATATGCACGGCGTGATTCACTCACCTCCTCTGAGGAGTTTCCCTCCTCAGAAATCTCTAGGTGTGTACCATTCTCCACTGAAGCTCCCTTGGACATGCCATTCAATTCCTTTACCCTGTCAGAAACACACAAAACTGACTGTAATAACTAAATCACACCACCAGAGGTCAGTCAGAAGCAACCCAAATTCCCATTAAGAAAAAAAAGCACCTGTTTGCATAACGGAGTGTATTCAGGGTGTATTCACAAGAGCCCATACCAGGTGATATCATTGCGATCTATAACAGGCAAAATGGAAAAACAAGGAGATTAATGTTACAATAAATAACAGTATTAAAAGCAAGCTCTAAAAAGAGGGTTACTGAAAGAAAAAAGGAAAAATAATAATAATAAAATCACTCTTACCATACAGGTCCTTGAATTTTCTCCAATGAAGGAGTCCCGAAGCACCTGGGTGAGTTTGCTCATCCTGAATGGGATGTGCTCACTGTTTTGACCCAGAGAGCGGATACATTCCTGAACAGTCAGGTAAGATATGAAAAAGTTATTGCATTCAAATTCTGTAACTGCCAATTACTTTAGTGTTTGTATGAATGGTGAAAAAACTGGGAACAAACTAGTTTCTTGCACTATAATGGAGCAGCAAACAAAAGCTATAAATCAAAAAAAGGCTTGTTGCATGAATCCAGATTCAGTTGCTACCCAGGTGAGTTTGAGATTAGTTCGAGCAAACTGTGTTCGCATTTGCTCAAATAGCAAAAGAAAACACCACAATATTGTTTTCACAACTTTCAAAAAAAAAAATTAAAAAAAAATAAGATAACGGCAGACAGAAGAGAAAAAGATGTCAATTTTACCGTCACTCCCACAGCCGCTGTATTAGAAACACCCTCACAAGAGCGTTAACTAGTTTCTTGTAATTTAATGCAGAGGTATTAGGTATAGGCCTGGTTTCAAAAACAGGGCTTAGATTAAGCCAGGATTAGGCCTTAGTTCAATCAGGAAATTTAAGTAGCTTTTATAAACGTGCCTTAGAATAACACATTACTGGTGTGCATCTTGAGACAAATGCACTGACATATCTTAAAATATGTCAGTGCCAAGTTGCTTTCAGTTAAAACAGCTCAAACATGCACTTCAGTCTGGGACTAGGCATAAACCCTTGTCCGTGAAACCAGTCCGTAGTATTTTAAATGTGGCTGTGTATTTAAAAAATAAATGAAAATATAAAAAAACCTTGTCAGATTTGTGATGCCGATGAACGTTAAAACCAGTCACAGTCTGCGAAGAGAGTCTATTCATAATACATATTCAAATAATTATATTAATTGACAATTCAGTTTAAACTTTATACATTTAATCTTGTATTTACCGGTATATCTATTCAAATACAAAGATTTTAGACAGATTAAGCTTACATGTTTTCTTTTGAGCTCTTTGCAAACCTATATAAATTATATTCAGTTGATTCACCTGCATTGATTGACAGTCAGATATTTTCTTTCAGCTGCCTTCTCAAACTTTTGCTGCAGCAGTGTTTATTCCTGTCTTGTAAATGCACTTAATATTTTTTAGAATCTCAATCTTCAGCAGATAAGTGAATTGCGGCGGCTCTCTAGCGAGAACTTAATCAAACTGACGCACAATGTTCTGTGTGATTGGCTGTTCGCTGCACATGTCATACTTTCAGGTGCACACACTAGAGTTAATGACAAACTCTGGATCAAACCCGGAGTTGACAGCGTTACTAAGCGTTGTGTGCCCACTCAACCTGATCGAAACCAGGTTGGATTAGTTTGTTCAACTAGCTTCATGCCACAGGCCTCAGTTGTATGAACATCTCTCAGATGGTTAACACCAGGGGTCGGCAACAGGCGGCCCGCGGGCCAAAACTGGCCCGCCAGCAATAATATCTGGCCCGCACCACAGACTGAAAAGTTCTGAAAGACATTCAAAAGAGTCTGTGGATCGCTAGACACACCTCTAAAATAGCCGTAATGAAATGTCTAATATTATATTCCAAACAGCGACAACTTCGTTGCAGATAAGACACACCGGCTTTGCATTTACAAAACTAGGTAGGATGAACGCATAGTTGTCTTTTCATTATTCTTTGTATGGCTATTTTCACTGTCAACTTTCCTCTTTAGACTCTTTGATAGTGCCATTTTCTCTCACCAGCTAGCTTAAATGTTAACATCACTCTGCACACGACATAATAGCGTACCTCCAGCACGCAAACAATTAAAAAAATGCAGTTTAGTATGTGAGGATGCCAAGGAATAATTCTAAGATTAAAAGTAGGCTACGTCAAATAATTATTACAATAAGTTAGGCTCCATTGTGTAACAAGCAAATTAAAATGATACATATTTATTATTCACAATATGGAAAGAGGAAATAAAACATAGTTTGTTAAGAGCATGACTAAAAAAAATGCCATTAATGGGCTTATTCAAGTCCTCTTATTTTTGGAGTTATTTTTATCCATTCCGTATCTCCCATGTGGGTCAGACATGATTTTGACCACTTCATTAAGTTTTGTAGAAAGCCTTTCTAAAAAGTGAATTTAATTTTGTATCTTATTTTTTATCAGCGTTTCATCAACCAATTGCCTGGATTTAATAAATAAGCAAATATAGAAGACAATATAATTAGGAGATGGAGGCGCCGGCGAGATTGCATTGCTCGTGAACTGGAGCTCGTCTCATAAACGAACCGAAACTCAGCGCTGCCTCAGACACGAGAAATATATATAGAAAGCTTAAAAGGTCTAATTTTAAACTAAACAATTCAAAACGAAAATAAACCGACTACTCTCTGCTTATGTAATCCATATAAAATGTGCATTTCTCTCTATAGGTGAGTTAACTACTGCGGTCACTATTTTATTACTAAACTATTATATTTTTTATTTTATTTACACTATTAATAAACAATTAAAATGTCTCCTTGCTATATTTGAAACATTCATAATCATTACTTTTGCCGGTTCCTTGTGACAGCTTTTGCGTTATTGGCAGCGTCACCCTCTGGTTACATGAACACCACCGAATCATCACCGATTTTAGACAATAAATCGCACAACCTATTCGATATTCTATAATTAAATCAACAAATCGAATATTCGAAAATGACTCATCCCTAGTCACTACTGCTTTATTAATTTATCCAGTGGAAAACCCAGACACCGCCACACAAATGTGGCTTTTTGTTAATGACTGTCCTACTACAGGATTTAACACAGTAACAGCTCACTACCAGTTACAAAAGACACTGTAACAGTCTGTCACAAGCAATTCTAGTTGCATTTTTCATCAATTCATTTCTTAAATTATGTTCTGGCCCGCCATCTAGTGTCAAAACATTTTTTTGGCCCGATGCCAACCCCTGGTTTACACGATTTAAAAAAAAAATTCAAACACTTTTAACCCTCTGGGGACCAGAGTGTTTTTGGGGCCCTTGGGATGTTTTGACATGCACTGACATTTGTGCTTTTTTCAGTTATTTATAAACATGTTAATGGCAAAGGTGTAAATTCACTCTATATAGCACAAACTTGGCATCCATGATATCTGAGCAACATGTATGTACATGTTTGTATTTTTAATAGAATAATGTTTATGCGTGGTTATTGAAAAAAATAAAAATAAAAGTTGCTGAAATAAGACCACAAAACACATATTGATTATTTCTTCACAAGACTTTTGAAAATTGTATCACATAGCCTAGAATATTTGCTCCAAAACTATGTGAGAATCATCCTGACTACTCATTCAGATAAGTCAATAAAGTCTTTTACATTTTTAATGACGTGTTTTGTTTGAGAAAGCTTTATGCAGGAGGCTTGATCTCTCATTAATATGTATGGCATTCCACACCTGAGAAAGACAAAGACCCTCCCATAATGGCCCTATTAGGTGCTATCAGGCCATATCATTACAGGAGCCTTGCACAAAGAATGAGGAGATTTAAAAAAGAATGGCTTTTAGATTGTTTGGATTTATATAAGGAAAATACAGGGTGCATACGTCTGGACACTTCTATCACACACCCTTCACCATATAGACATGGTTTAATTTCAGTTCAAAGTTAGAGTTGGAAACATCTTGAAAAGAAAATTGTCTTTCTCCATAAATGTCTTAGTTTGATCATACATATTTCAAAGTTGAGGATTCATTATTTTGATATAGCTTGAACAAACACTATAACATCTTAGTTGATTAGTTTATTGACAAAACATAGGCCTACTATATATTTAACATATGAGCAGAAACTCCTAAAAAAGCTTATTTGATGTCTATTTTAGAGTAAAAACTTTATCCAAAACGAGAAATGTTGTCTGTTATTTAGTCTGTAACAGTGCGTATCTGTGCGTTCATTCATTCATTCATTCATTCACACACACACACACACGATTCACATTTAACAGTATGCTATTTTTCCGTTTACAGACACTACGTTATTCTATATCGCGATTAGAACAAAGCACTTGCATAAAACACTTACTTCTCAGCTGAATCTGTTCATCCTCGCAGTGAAAATAAATCCAGTGGTAAGTGTCCCAGGATTGTTCCTCATATAGCCGCGCAAGACGACAGTAGATTAATCTGACTAAAAAATAATGTGTGTTTTCAGAGTTTATGGGCGTTAACGCGTCTCAATGTTTTGCTTCACATATTTGCGTTTGAATAGCGCGTGCTCTCCGTGGGCGTGTCACATTACCAGGGATAATCAGCTGAGAGAACGATAATGAGACGGGCTGACACGTCTCTCTTTTTATATAGATGACATAAACGGAGAATAATAATTTTAGTTTTGAATCGGATCATTTAAAAGTACAAACTCAAATGATTTAAAAGATATATTGCTTATGGCTGGGTGAATAGTTTTAGCTGAGTTGTGTTGAAGATTAGAGACGTGCTCCAGAAAAAAAGTTCACGGTGACCGAGAGGCAGAACGCACACCCTGTTTATTTTCTTTATTTTACAAAAGCACAATATTTTATTTCGATTGTATGTGGGCACATAAAAAAAGTAGACATTTAACAGATTATTTTCTCATATTTCTTAACTCTATATGAACAGAAATGATGGTAGTACTTTAAGTCTATTTTTCTGCTATGTGAAAAAAAACGAGCAAAACGCGCCCGCGCGTTTCTGGTCCCCAGAGGGTTAAACTATGTAATTTGATAAAGAATCAAATTTTGACCCTTTCATATTGACAAATAGAATAAAAATGTGTATTAAAATGAAACCATTAAGTAGACAAAGCACCTTCAAAGCCAGCAGGCTACGGTTGATCTCCGCAGTCTCCACTATGGTGTGCCGATCATTACTGCTGACATCAGTGCCACGTTCGTTCCCAGCAAGGTCCACCAGAGAGAACTTCCCATGGAGGAAAATCCGCCGCCTTAGGATTACTTGCAAAACCGCATGTGAACGCGATGAGATGGCATTTGCAAACGTTTGGCCAGACGTTCTGGTATAGAGAGAGAGAAAGTTTTATTGTTGAACGAATTATCTGAAACTGAAATAATAGATGCATTGTATTGATGTCACTTTCCCATCAGAACACCCCCTTAGCCAGACTGAGTGGCAAAACATCCTAAAACATGACTGGATTTAATAGGAGAAACAGCGAAAACAACTTACCAAAGAACCAGAGTGGTCCATGGACATTGACATGTGGCCAGAAATCGGGTTTCCTGACATTTATAAACGCCACAGAAATGTATAGTGCAAAGCCTGTGACCAGCTAGACAACACTGTAAAGACTATAGTACATCTAAATCCAGATGATCGATTATATATATCGTTATACATTGGCCGGCCCTAAAACTCTAAGGCATTATAGACCTAACATTATAATATTTCTGTAAAGCTGCTTGGAAACGGTGTGTATTGTGAAGCACTAATACATTTGACTTGACGCTTGGTCATACTTCAAGATGGGATAAAATCACAAGGACATCAATTGATATTTTAAATATTTTGTAGGAACTTTTAAAAGTTATCTGGATAAGTCGGTCTGTCAGCTGTTACCACGCAGAGTTCCATGCTGTAAGCTGACTTTAAGAACTCTTTTGTGCTCCTATCCATTTATCTGTCTAGACTGGGTCTGTCAAACATTATCCAAACATTCCTCTTTATAGAACACATGGATCATCATAATTGATTTTCTTAAAATTTTTTAATACTGACAAAAACTTTACAGTAACGTAGAATATAAGATTTCTTTAATATTTACCTGCATGCACTTCCCTTCTCAATCATCTTGATGACGTCATCAACAGATGACACGGGAACTTCGTGCAAGCCAACAACGTTGACCTGCTGCTTCTCATCCTCTAAAACACGCAACTTTGCTTTCTTATTCAGCAAGTCAAACACCTGCAGTGCACAAAATGTTCATCATCATGCCTGAACAAGTACTTTATGCTTGCAACCACAATCTAAAAATCAAATCAGCTTAAAATCAAATAATAATATCCCACTTGTTTAATTGAGCATAAAGAGTACATTTCCAAATGATTAATTTTAGGTTTATTTGCTCTAGCAAACACAATCAGCCATCCGTTTGACAAGACATCACAGAAATGTTTTGGAAACATGTAATACAATGTGCAAACCTTGCCATTGTAGATCTCAAAAAAGGTGACATATGGGCAAAGGTCCATATCAGCATATCGCTTTTGCTTTAGGAGGGTAAATACATCCTGTGCTGTGGAGTATGCAGACAGATTAATACCAGAGTGAACATGGATAAATGTAACAGCCCACTATGTAAAGTACATTTGACAGTTACAATCACCTGCCAGGGCGTAAATCCCTTTAGAGCTGTTTTGGCTCTTTCCAGTGAAGTCTCCACCCATAGTCTGTAAAGAATGCCTTAAGATCAACAACATGGTTTTGGACAGTGTGGGATTTTTTTTTTTGAAAGCACAAACAACTTACATGAGTTTTTCCACTGCCTGTTTGGCCATATGCAAAGCACGTTGCCATACCACCTTCGAAAATGGTCTTAACCAGAGGCTTAGCAGTGAACCTAAAAGTTAAATTCATAACCATTTGAATATTTTCTAGCTTAAACATTGGCATATCCCCCAAAAATATAAATTCTGCCATTATTTGTGAGAAATACAAAGTTTTAACTAGTAATTTTATTCCATGTAAATACAAAGCATGTTTCGTGTTTCTTGGAAGAAACACATACATGTTTGGAACGGCACAGATGTGAACTAATTCTTGAATAAACAATACCTGCCATGTTCACACATGGTAATAAATACCAAACAGAAACTCAAAAAAATACTCAGCTACCTGTAAATCAAGTCATTAGTGGCGTCTTCATCGAACGAGTAATCAAAACGGAAGTTCTGATTCTCCAGGTACTTGGTCAGATCCACTTTCTGCTTGGGCTCGTGCAACAGCAGGGCTCCGTTACCAGGTATTGTGACCACATCAATCTCTTTCTTTGCCAACTCTGAACACAAATAAATGAGAAATACATGAAAAATCACCCAAACAATTCAATTCAAGAAAGAATCAATTGGAGAGGTCATATCAGCAACCTACCCTTTTTATTAAGAGGACGTTTGCGAACGCAGACACATATTCTGTGAGGTTTGACCTAAAAAAAAAATGCACTGTGTGTTAAAATAATATGAATGAATAGATGATATTAATATTATGCTCATTAACTCACAGGATCGGACAAAGACATGGGTATTTTCTCCAGGGTCTCTCTGTAGTCTTCAATCATCTGGTAAAACTGCTTAGGGCGACTTGTATCTCCAAACTAGAAACACAATTGTGAAAGGAGAAATTCAAATACATTTTTCGACATTTCCACTTCAAGACTACAAGTCTGTGACTAAAACAGAAAAGTTAAAAAACAAAAATGATACAGTAAATTGATATTACCAATAAATAAAATAATAACTTAAAATTACTCCATTTTATGTCTAAAAATAAAATAATTGAATATTCTGAAATATTCAATTCTGAATGGTTCAGTAATTAAGCAATAATAGTGACCACAAAAAAAACATTTTGTGCAAAAAATTCAGACTTCATTTGAAAAGGATTAAAACTATAGGCATGATATCTGGATCAAATACGGTACCTTTCCTCTCTTTTGTGCTTCAGGATTTTTAGCAAGCGACAACCGTTTGTTTGCCCCCCTGTTCACTTCCGATATTTGAGACATGCGATGGCCTAAAAGATTACAATTACAACAGTGCTATAAGTGCTGTAAATGTTAATAGCCACCATATCCATGATGTCAAAGCATGCATGACAAATTCAAAACAGTACATACTTGATGGACCCATGGGGGCACATTTGGAAGCCTCACTCTCACATATAGCCTCAATGGTTGGTAGCAGAGGAGAAGCTGGCTTTGAAACAAGTCTCCTCTGGTAACCTGCCAATCCAGATGGTGAAATGTTTTGTAAAAGATGTTTTCAATTCAATTCAATTCAATTTTTATTTATATAGCGCCATTACAACACCCAAAAAGGTGCACAAAGCGCTTTCCATAAAACACATAAAAAGACAACAGTATATAGAAATTGAAAGTAACTAACACAACGACTAAAAACAAAACAAATGATTACGTGTTGAAAGCCTTCCTGAAAAGAAACGTTTTCAACTGTGATTTAAAAACACTAAACACAGTAATGTTACGAAGGGTAGTAGGTAAGGCATTCCACAAAGTAGGACCCTGGATGGCAAAAGATCGGCCTCCAAACTTTTTGCATCTAAACTTGGGGATAATCAAAGAGGTGTTCTGAGAGGAGCGGAGGGTTCTGGCAGAATGGTATACAGTGACCAGCTCAGAGAGGTAAGTTGGGGCCAGACCATTAATGGCCTTAAAAACAAACATCAGAACCTTATACTCCACCCTAAAACGTACCGGGAGCCAATGAAGTGAACAGAGGACGGGGGTGATATGAGTATGTTTGTGGGTATTTGTAAGGAGACGGGCTGCTGCGTTTTGAACCATCTGAAGACGGTTGAGAAATGATAGGTTAAGCCCAGTGTAGAGGGCATTACAATAATCCAGCTTTGAGCTGATAAATGCATGAATGGCTCTTTCTAGATCAGCACGGGACAGGAATGATTTCACCTTATGATTTAACAATGATTTGAGTCTCCAAGCTGACAGCACAAGTGAACTATGGATGTGACAGTCCATTCACCTCACATCGGTTACCAATCAATATCAGTTCATGCCAATCCAACATTACCTGTAACTTGACTACATATCTTAATATGTTGATGTAGAGACAGACCTGAAGGTTTAGGGATCGTAGATGTGGGAAGATCCTGAGAGAAAACTTCTTCTGCAGCCGTTGCCGAGACCACAGGTAGAGGGGCAGGCAGTCGGAACAAGCACGTCTGACGTGTGGTCATTCTTTTAGAGGCTGAAAGGGACAAAAATATATGATATATGATGTCACTGCAATTCAGTGTAAATTACTTATGTTTAGTCACATCAAGGCACAAATAAAGAGATTTCCAAAGTAGAATAAAGAGCTTCTTATCAACACTGCCACTAAATCCAAAGGCAATCCTATGGACAAATCCTGAATCTCCAAAACCATTTGTCATGATTGCATTTATCAGCAATAAAATTGGACAACAGTTTGGACAATATCTTCACCCTCATAGTATCTGACAATGTGCAGACATTGTAGAAATAAACTTCTAAAATTATTAAAAGAACAGTCATTGCTATATGAAACCCAAAAGTGAAAAGCCATCAGCCACAGTGCATTGATCGCTGCTAGAACTAATGACCATCTCTGCCATATGTGACCTTTCTGGACTGACAGAGACAGGAATTTATACCATGTCCTATTTTTGATAAGTAGATAATTTGTAGAAAAGACCATGTGGACAGAAGTGGAAAGAGACACCCTGATTAAGTCTAATGAGAAGTTCAATTTAGCCTTGAGTGAGTGTGATTGGAGGGCATAAAGAGAGCATGCACTTGATGCAAACCTGACTCTTCAGATGGACAATCCTGAGGAGCAGCTTCAAATAGGAAACACACCAGAAGATTACACTGGTGCAGGTCAGGAGACCAACTATGAATTGGAGTAAACCTATTGGAAACAATGAATAATATAACTTACGTTCTGAAGTAGGTATTCTGGATGACCTTGAAAGAAGCTCTGATGCTCTGATGTTCTGAAGCATACACAAAGTAGTGTGTAAATGACCAAGTAGTCAATTGTGCATAGAAAAATGAAATTAGATTTAAAGATGTGTTTTTAGATTAGAATGAATAACAAATGAGTGTGATTTCAAACACAGCATGTGCATGAATGTGCGTAAAATACAGTAATGCTTATGTTGTCCCATATCCATTAAATTTGAGGATAAGCAAACAGAACTCACTTTTGCCATTTTTTTCTCGGGTGCAGCGATAGGCTCTGGTTCCTCTTGACGACAAGGTTGAAGGTGTTGCATAAGGTCAGAATTGAGTTGCTTGAGTTCATCCATGTCAACCTAGAGTACAATCGAATTAATAGTCTAGTTAACTAAGTCATCCTAGAGCATTGGCTGACGTGGCTGTACAAGTGCAAATACCAACAACTCCACACAGAGGCCAATGTACTGTTCTAAACAGTGAAAAAATCTTATGACAAATTAAGTACCAACCTCTTTTCCTTTAGTAATGCCTTTCTCAGCCCATTCCACATTGATTGTGGCTTTAGTGACGTTGACAGTTTTCACAGTGGCGCTGTGTATTCTTCCTGCATTGATGGGAGACAGTGCCATAAACAAACAGCATTTTCTTGGTTGAACTTTGAGACTTTCCTCATTGGTGCAAAAAAATGTGTTATTCACTTTTATTGCATCTTCCCCCCCCCCCCCATTCAATAACTTATGACAGAGGATGTCATTCAGCATAACTTTTTTTTTTTAACAAAAGAAACTAAATTATTTAGTTTAAGGTTTGGAACAACATGTTAACTTATAATAACAAGAGTAAAATACAGAATTGTCTTTTTTTGGTGAATTATCCCTTTAAAAGACAATCCCAGCCAACTAGAATGTGTATATATTTCCATAGCAATCTTATCCTACATGACAAGGGAGCACAAGAAAAAAGTGAAAGGTTATTTGCATTATTTACACATTGATTGTTACAAAAAGATTGCTTTATAATTTTTCTTTTAGTGTTGATCTTTTGGTGTAATTTTCAATCTTTAGAAACCTCCCGCTGCAATCACTACTAAATTACATGTTGCATCACTAAGCATTAACGTTATGTTAACTTTAACCTGATTTTACTTGGTTTGACATCAACTGATTTGATGATGCAGTTCTTAAAGTTAATTTACTTGTAAAAGATTAGCACGTAGCAAACAAGCATCTTACCATCACTACGACTTATATTGACTGCGAGCCCAATAAGTATTTTCGCCAATGCAGGATCCATCTCAGGGTATGGTTATTTGGTTATTTACAGTTGTTTTCGACGTCTCTAAAGTTCAGATTTTAAATTAGTATTTTTCTGCCACTTTGCCCTTACTTGTCGTAAACCAACATTAACCGCCCTGCATTCAAAATTCGTCAGCGGAAGTTATTGGATTATTTATGTAGGTGGTGCTTCGTTTGAACCAATCAGAGCACGCTAAAAAAATGACTGGCATTTCAATGCACCAATCAGATCTTAGAGTAGTCTCACACTCTGGCTGCTCTTTTCACCCTATGTTTTCACCACATGGGAACCTGCTACATTAAAAAAAAAAACGTCACATTAACAGCAAAACCGAATGGTAAAGTCATGGAAATGAGACGTTTAAAGCCAGTGTCTTGGAATATGGTGTCAGTAAGTAATAAAAATACACAAACGTCACTGAGTAAAGTCATGGAATTAATACAAAAGAACAAATCACACAAACAGGCTATACTGATACAGTGTAAAGTATACTCTGTAAACAGTGCTAAACAACGTTTCTTAGATTATCTCAATGATTGTTTTTAATAAGACGCAGCTGTTATGTCATTTTCAGTAGCTAACGTTACTCCAAATTTTTAGATAGCGTTTGAAATTCCACCGTCACAATATTTTTTTGTAAGTACTGGACTGGAAAGTAAGATTCTGATGTACTGAATACTAAACCCTACAAATTAATGCGTAGGCTATTTTTAATATCAATTAAATACATGAAAACCCGAAAATACATTATATTTGTTATACATTTTATATTTTTATTATAATAACATTTATTTATTTTGTATATTTGATAGAACAATTATGTATAAACTTTTATTATTATTATTTTACAAGCTATGCAAGATTATATTAGGTCAAGTTAAGATGTCATGGAATGGACCATACATTTTTTTTGTAATGTGGTTAATGAAAACACTTTTTTGCCTAATTTACTATGTTCTCAAGTTTTCGTTGTAGTTGGAAAAACAATTAGTTATTTAGTATAACTTAATATTAAGCTCAATATTCTTTGAAGAGAATTAGTTACTTTTTTCTGTGGTAGCCTACATTTTTTTTTAGCAAGCTGCTTAATGCTTTAAAAAGTTTTATATATATATATATATATATATATATATATATATATATATATATATATATATATATATATATATATAGTATTTTTTGAAAAGAATGTACAACAATGTAGCCTTTCTACAGTGGCTCTGGTAACGTTTGCTTTTACCAAATCAGGTCGTGCAAATATATATATATATATATATATATACTGAGCCAACCTTTAACGCAAGTGAAACATTTGTTCTTATCAGAGGCGGACAGAGTACAGAGCTTTGTTACTTGAGTAAAAGTACAGATACCCCTTGCTAAATTTTACTCAAGTACAAGTAAAAGTACTACATTCAGATGTCTACTTAAGTAAAAGTACTAAAGTACTTGTTTTTAAAAGTACTTGAGTATCAAGAGTACAAGAGTAGATTTTCTAAATATTGCATTACTAATCTACTGCCACAGTGCTTACATTTATGCACAGAAACGTCCTACATGGAGTTATGAAAAATGTTAATGTTAATACCTTGGAGAATGTAAAAGGAATTGAAAGTAAAATCAAGTCATTTTCATCTTTTTACCATGTTGCTTTATTTAATTTAATTAAATTTTTGGGGGGTCCCATCTTTAAATGCGGGGACAACACACACACACACACACACACACAACACATGTAAGGGTGGGGCTGCCAATAAAGCACCTAAAAGCTGTCACAAAGAACCGCCAAAAGGAATGATTATGAATATGTAAAATATAGCAAGGAGATATTTTAATTGTTTATCAATAAACACTTGTTAATAAACAAGTGTTTTCTTTGTCAGTGTCGGCTAGATGAAGTTGATGATGCTGACTCGCGATCTTCAGTAGTGAACGCGCCAGAGAGAAATGCACATTTCATACAGATTACATAAGCAGAGAGCAGTCTGTCGTCTGTTTTCTTTCGTTTTGAATTTTTCTGTTTAAAAGTAGACATGTCTGTGAGAGGCAAGTAGGCTACCTTATACACTGTGTTTCGGTTCATTTATGAGACGAGATCCAGTTCACGTGCCGGCGCCTCCGTTTCTTATCTATCGTCTGCTATTTACTTCTTATTTATTAAACCCAGGCAATTGGTTGATGAAACATTGATTCAAATTAAGATACAATTAATGCAAAACGAAATTCAGGTTAAAGAAAGGTTTTGTGTTTTCTGTTTGATGTCTCTGTGAAAGTTTTAAAGCATTTTTTATGCCGCTTTCAGAGCGCTCACGTCCGTAACGGAGAACACGTCCATAACATCGTTTTTTCCTCATAAATGCAAACAAGAAAAATAAAATAAATATTTTATGTACTGTGGAGACTGAGCGCCAACCCTTCTTCATTCGCTGGGTAGTAGCCTACTTTGGTTTGCGCAGTGTAATTCACATAATCATTAAAAATATATTTTGCCTCCTAAAGTTTTTTTTTTAAGAAATCAGAAATCCCTCGTGACTACGCCACTGCCACATTTGAACCTGACTGTGTTAAACACACCACATACTCAAGAACATCAAACCAAATGCTTGGCTTACATTAATGTGTAATATAAAATCTGACCATGGAGTTGACTTTGGCGGAAAGCTGAAAGTGATTGCTGATAGGCTGTCCCAATCAGTGGCGCCTGCACAATCCAATCACGTTTGAGAGGGAAACAACAAATTGAGGGTTTCCGAGATTTTTCTTTACTTTTTTTTTTTTTTACTCGGGTACTCGCGGTTATGGATAGAAATGTATTGGAGTAAAGAGTACAATATTTGCCTCTCAAATGTACTTGAGTAAAGTCATGAGTACTCCCCAAAAATTATACTCGAGTAAAGTACAGATCCCTCAAAATTGTACTTAAGTACTGTACTCAAGTAAATGTACTCCGTTACTGTCCGGCTCTGGTTCTTATATAGGTGCTCTAAGCGATGCCACGCGTTTTTCAGGCCAAATCGTTTTTTGTCACATACAGCAAACATCTCCTCACTATCCGCTTGCTGCCTGTCCCCTGAACACACTGTAAAAAAAAACGCGGTCTCTATAACTTTTAGACAGCCCAGAGAAAGTTATAGCCTGAGACAGCCCAGGCTCCACAAACAGCAACAAAAACAAACTGCAGCAACCCGCTCCACGAAACAAAACAAACAGTGTTCCAGCCAATAACCGACAAGAATGATTTGGGGTGGGGTTAGTGCGCGTACACATGAAGGGGGGTGTGGAGGAGAGAGAAGCATGAAGAGGGAAGTTAGAATTTGATATGGCCGACACACGACCAAAGAGACTCAGATGAACAGATTGCAAAAATGCAAAGAAGAGGGAAAAGGAGAATGAACGCGCAAAGTCCCGAATTTACATTTGAAAAGCCTTTGAAAGGTGACGAGAACTCCGCCGGCAGAAGGGCTTCCAATCCGACATTCAGGTAACTTAGCTCTGTTTTTGCTGGACAGGTGGGTAAATCCATTTTGGTTTTTCTAAGAGGACTTTCATGTTCGCCTAACAACAGACACAAGGATAATTAGCTATAACAATGCAGTCAGCGCTAACTTTGGTGAACACAACATAACGTATTTTTAGGTTTCTAGCAGCTAGCTATCGATCTCTATCATCTCTATTGAGGATCAAGCAAACTCACAGTAGGGCGACAGTTTGTGAATGATTGTTTTCACCAACTGTTTGTTATGAATTTGAATGTTCATCATTCATGGCCTATTGACAACTTTGACTAAATTTGTTTACGACGGAGGGAGGGTCTAGATAGCCTCCGTTTTGTTTGACAATACTTCGAACATCAACAAGAAGTGATGTCACCACCCAACATCGAGAGAGCACCTTTAAACCACAGTTTAGACATTATTTGAATTATTGTAAAAATAAATTAAATTTTGAGGTTGAAAACACTTTACTGTTTACAGGTGACAGCTGTGAATGGATGGAGAAAAGTACAGTCTTGTCAGAGTTTGTTGCTGAGCCACCGTGAGTGTTTTTACCATTACCTCACACATTGAAGTCTTCTTGATGTTCACTTTTTTGGCTGTTATTCTTTATTCCTTTATATAATCATTGTTTAACTGTTTGTAGCTCAGACCAACACTATAGATTTGTAAATGGGTCAATGACGTATAAGGATTTTCGACAGGCCAATTTTAAAATACAAAAAAAAAAAACCTATTGCAATTGTTCAAACATTAAGGATGTTGTGTACACATAAATTCATATTAAAGGTGCAAAATGTGTAAAATTTTTGAGTATCTATCTGTTAATAGAAATGCAATATTACATCCATAACTATGTTTTCAGTGGTGTATAAAAAACTTACTTCCCGGTAATAAACCGTAATGTTTTTATTACCTTAGAATGAGACATCAACATGCACCCCCTTCTATGAAGGTCGACATATTGTGACGTCATGTTTCTACCGTAGCCGACAGCGAACAAACAGCGCTACAGAGCGCGTTTCGTCACTACCTTGAAAGAGAAGCAGCAGAAAGCTAGAAGCTAGCCATAAACACAGTGAGTAGTGACTTTTCCCTTGTCAGTGGTGTAAAGTATGTAGTTGGATTGTTTCATGTAACTTAGTTCTTCTCCCTCGCTGTGTTATGGCTTTGCTGTGTGGGGATAAATGTGCTGGTTACGTTTGTGAGACAGCTAATTAGTACTCTTGTCATTGACCGTAAAACAATATGTTACAGGAATCGCCAACCCGTCGATCGCGGTCGACAAGTCGATCTTGGAAGCATTTTAAGTCGATCGCGAAGAGTTTTCAAAATCAGAGAAAAAAAGCCTATTGTACGGTGGCCGAGAGAGCTCAACACGCTGCAAAAGAAGAAAACACATACAAATAGAAAAAAAACGTGTGCAAATAGAAAAAAACACATGCAAATAAAAAAAACACCCGCAAATTAAGAAAACATCTTCATCAGTTTCACAACATACGTGTGCTCCAAATACTCACAACACCACCAAATACAGAAACGCACTGCAAAAGCTCACAACA